CGCCTTGGCGTAGCTCCATTCGTTGAGCTTCGATGTCGATACATCGCACGTGCGTATCGATGAAGGCCGTGCCGAGAAGGACCGGCACGGCGAGCTGGTCCGCGACTACGAACGGAATTCGGAACACCGTGTTCCTCAACCGCACAGCCAGGCGGACGACGGCCGAAAGCTTGAGGGGGTTGCTATTCGCGCCTGCCAATCGTGGCAGAGGTGCGTCGTGCACGACGTAACGCGTCCAATCGGGGGGAAGGTCGGCCTTCCTCACCAGATTATACCCCGAGCACGTATCAACAGCGATCGTGCGGGGTTTAAATGCATTTCCCTCTGTGGCTATCGAGCCGAGGACATTGTAGATCTTCGACGTCAGAAGGCAAATGACGCCGTCGACAACCTTCGGGGTGACCTTATCGGTGAGGTCGTTCCGCCGGGGCCTTCGATTTCGTTGCTGGCCCCGCTTGCGTTTCCTTCTCCCCCTTCCTTGGGGCGTCCGCGGATCAGTGACCCCCCTCGGATTACTCGAGTCCGTACGACACGGACCTTTCTCCGGCGACCTTGGGCTCGCGGGAGTCAGGGGGTCGACCGAACGTTTTCGGTCGTCGTTGCCCCTGGCGCCATCGTTACGCCTCACCGGGACGTCGGCTGTCCCGGTGTCTTGTTCCCCTAACGTCGGGCCTTCGGAGGCCTCGACGTGTGCTCCCTCCTGTATCGGCATTACAGGGGTTCCCGTGCTCGCCTCCGGTAGCGGGGGATGTATTATCGGACAATACCCCCCGTGTCCTTGGCGAGCACGCGGGGTCGGGTCTAGTTCGTGGGGAAAAGACGGCTCACGCGACCGCGTGTACGTAACCGTCTTTACCCTTTTTTCGAACTACCCGTGCTATCGGAGCTAACCTCCTGGCTATCGACGGCCAGGTCTTCTTCCGGTAGCCGGTCGCGTGGGTCGGGACGATTCCCCCACTGCGGCTCGGCGGCCTTGGCGAAGTACTCCGGTACTTCCGGGCCTTGACCTGCGGCGTCCGGTCGTCGCAGGATATGGGGGACGAAGCGAGTCGGCTCTCCTTCGTGACCCTCCGTGGGTAGAGGGTACGGGTCCTCTACCCAGTCTTGCAGGTACATTATCGCATTTTGTACCTGCTGGGGTAACCGTGAGCGGTCTCGGTCCCCTCTCTCTCCTTGGCGCGGGTACCTCGTGTCCGCCTGGCGATAGGCGGGTCGATCCCGACGATCGACTTCGTTACGACGGTACCCGCCTCCACGGGGGGCGAAGCGTGCGCCCCCACCCGTTCGGATCAGGAAACCTTGACGCGGGGGACGGCCCTCGCCCACCGCTTGCCGGAGGAGATTGCGCGCACCGGGGCGCGTCTCCATCTGGTAGCGGTAGTTCCTGTACGCCGTGAACATTCGTTGTTCCGGCGACAGGAACGGGCACGCGTACATGGCATGCCCATACGTACGGCATAGCCAGCACACGTAAGCGCTGCCGTCCGTTGAGGCGAAGGTCGCCGCGTGCCGCGCCTCCTCATCGGTGAGGAGGGGCACGCGAGGCGAGGCGCTTCCCTTATCTCGACTCGAGATATCGAGCTCGGCGACGCGGGGGTCCGTGCCCCTTGCCACTCTCGGAGTGGCCGCGAATGCGGTCGCGTAACTCGACGTCGTTCCAGTCGACATCGGTGAGGGGGTTCGTGCCCCCACGGGCCCTGCTCCTTGCGTAATGAGGACAGGGTCGGCCTGCCACTCATCCTCCCCGATATGGAGGGTCGAGGCGGGTGAACTTGTCGCGGCGGACTTCGTAGTCCTGCCAGCCCTCCCTGCCGGTTTCGAATCCGGCAGAGGTAAACCGCGCCGGGCGCGGTACGTTGTACCTTCCGCCGTGGCGATACGGCGGATGGTCGGAAGATCGGTCTTCTGACTGCCTGGCAGCCTTTGCACAGTTTCGGATACTGCGGCACGGGTTGCCGGTGCAAGTCCCCGCACGAAGTAGTGCAGGAGGGACTGTTCGGAGAAGACTGCCGTGCATCGGAACGCGGCAGTCTCGAGTCGGTCAGCAAACGTGCTTTCCGTCTCATGGGATTGCTGTCGCGCCGTAGCGACAGCGTCGTACGCTTCACCCAACACGTCGTCCGTGAGGTAGCGTTTTAAGAATTGGTTCACGAGCCCCGGCCAGCTCACGTCGTCGTGGAGCTGGCCGGCGCGGAGGCCACGCATCGTATAACTCGTATACAGTCGCTCCGCGTCGCGCTCGAGGAAATGCGCGAGGACTCGTACCGCAACACCTTCGGTCAGGTGTTGCGAGTTGAAGGTGATTTGGATATCCTTCAAGAACGGCAGCAGCTGGATCGGGTCGGTACCGTCGAAGCTGCGCATCGTGGGACGTATCCCACGACAGCGTTGGACGTACTTCGCGATCCGTCCCGCGTCACCCGAGGTAACGAGCCTCGAGGTGTTATCCAAGCGGTACATACGATAGTCAGCAACGGCGCTGAACTCTTGGATCATCGTATGTACCGGCTCGAGCCCGGGTTCAGCGAGACCCAGCGTGCCGAAGGAGGTAACCGGTAGCGTACGGACGACTACCGGACCTGGATGCTCGGCGTAACTCGCCGGCGGATAGCCGCCCCAGCGGGTATCGACGGAGAACATCGGTTCTCCGGATCCGCGGGCGGCTCCTCCACGGTCCTGTTCGTCCGCGTACGATACGCGGTCCACTTGCCGCCTACTTCCGACGATAGGCGGCAAGGCTTGGGTCTCAGACGCGAAGTTCGCGTCTATCGGAGGGCGGCTTCCTTCTGTAGTCCGACTGGTAGCGGCACCAGTCGGACGCCAACCTTCGGGGGCGGCGGCGCTCGGAGGTACGGTACCACCGGGCCCTCTCGGGGGGGCACCGGCTAGCCTTTCGGCCATGGTACGTTCCATGTCACGAGCACGCCGACGAGTGGCGTCGAGCTCAGCGGAGAGGTGCGCGAACGCACCCAATTGCTCTGCGGACGGAGAGGTTCGGTCCTGGGGTCGTCTCACCGAGGTCGGCCTCTCAGGGCGACCTTGCCCGGAAGGTCTGGGCGAGGCGAAACGGGAGTCTTCGACGAGCACGATCCGCGAGTGTAACTCGTCGATCAGTGCTCGGAGATTCTCTAAGGACTGCGTCACTCTATCGAACCTCCCTTCACGCAGGGAGCGGAGTTCGGCCATACATCGAGTGTATACATGGTCCGATACATCGATCCGGAGAGAAGTACGGACTTCCTCGATGTATTCGGCTATGCGTTCGAACATCGCCGCCGCTCTTTCCTCGGAGGATCCGAGCGACGGTTCGCGGTCACGAGGACCTGCGTCGCCGTCGCCCGACGGGGCGGATGGGGACTGCACAGCGGCCGGACTCAGATCCGCCGCTTCGGAGCGGATCGAGGGCTCGAGCTCTTGGCTCATCTCGACGCGATCGGTTCGCGGAGGGAAGCGGAAGTCTTCTCGGAGATCGGACTCCAGGGTCTTCTAGGTCGGGAGACCACTGTAGCATAAACACCCCCAAACGGCGGGGGTGTATGCACGCAGTTCAGTAGTAGACTCCGGATCGGCGGAAGACGGAACACACGCAAAGGGAAAGGACACGGGTCCTGGTAGCGTGGTAGAGCGGGAAGGGTGGCAGGCGCGAGTGATTGCGCAGCGGGGCGGACCGACGCCTCAACGCCCCGGAGCGACACTGGGTAGCGGGCCAGTGTCGACGGGCGGAGGCGGATCGCTGCACGCGCGCGCACTGTAGCGCCTGCACCCCGCGTCGGTTCCCTTACCTAAACGAGACGCGAGAGCGGACTCGTGTTTTAGGTTAAGCGGTGGGTTGTCGACCAAGGCGGAAGGTCGTGGACAAGCCCGTGCTTGTCCCTTTCCTCCGCCGTCGGTCCCTCCCTTATTTAATGTACAAGTGTTCGGTTATCATACCAGACTACAGTATCATGCTACCGTAGCCGGCGCGAGTCGTCGCGCGCGGTGGCTCTGTCAGCTATCGAGCTGACAGTACACGTGTGTGCCACGTGTGTGTGCGCACGCCCTGCACACGTGTGGTACACGTGTGGGCTCGTGTGGGCTGTAAGGTTCGTGCCTTACAGCCCCTGATCTAAACCTAATCGAATCGACGGCGCATATACCACACCCTTCCCCCCCAAATATGACCACGTCCCCTCCTCCCCGCCACCCCCCTTCCCCTCAATATCCCCACGTCCCCTCCCCGCCACCCCCCCTTCCCCCCCAAAATCCCCACGTCCCCTCCTCCCCGCCACCCCTACCTCGCGCCCGACCACCACGCCCCATCACCATCTTCCTCACCTCCTCAGTACCGTGACAAACACACATCCTCCGACATGCCATTGCCCGCCACCGCGTCATCCTCCTAACATCGACACCGACACAGTCTCTCCCCGCACCCTCCATCCCTTCCATATCTTTCGTTTCATATCTCAATCCAGCCCAGTTTTGGTCATGCACATCGAGGGACCTCATTATAGCAACACGTCGTCCAGCTTTGCTTTTGTCGAGCTACAGGGAGTCAGACTGGGCCATGTGCATGCGCGAGGAGGCGTTGCTGTACCTTCCATGCTGCATGGATCTGCAGACCGTCCAGACTCTGTTCCATTTCCGAGGAGTGGAACTATGGGATGGCATTACAGTAAAAACTACAGCAATGTGCTTCCGATTTTAGTGAAGAACTCAATAAAAACGGGGCGAGGGAAAGGAAAAACGAGAGGAAAGTCCTTTGTTAGGACTGGCCCTCACACTCGTACTCACCCTCGTATCGCACCCTCAGTCGTAGTCGCACGCTCACTCGAAACCCATCCCGCGACCTTCTCTCTCGCCACTCTGTCTGCACTCCTTCCCTCTCACCTCCACCGTGGACAAAGACAGACTGCCGGCGCTGTCCTCCCTGCTCACGGACAGCACGCGCTCCCCACGCGACCGCGAGCAGCGCGATCCCGGAGAGAACATACGCGCCGGCGGCAGCGGTGCTGCGGCGGATGATTGGCTCGACAGCCGCGAGCGACGTTCTCCTGCGGCTGCTGCTGCTGCTGAGCAGCGAATCGCACTGCTCTAGCACTGTCTGCGCTTGTGAACCTGTCGGAGGACGAGGAGCCGGCGGCTCTGACGCACGCGGACGCGGTGCGGCTCGCAGCGCAGGTGGTCCTGGACGCGGACGTCGTCGCGCTGCACGCGGCGCTGCTGTCCAACCTGACGCGCTTCGCGCCGGGCGTGGACGAAGCGGAGGGCGCGGACGGGTTTCGGGAGAGGGGCACGCTACTCGTGCTCGTGGAGAGGGTACCGAGTATTCCGAATGTGCTGCGGCTGTCGAATGCGTGCGCGAGCCAGGAGGGGAGGGACGTCCTGTTGGTCGAGGGAAGGCAGGCGGAGAGACAGCTGTTGACGAGGTTGCTGAGATTGCTGGAGGCGGGGGAGGCAGAGAAGAGGCTGGCGGGGGCGAGCTGGGTGCGGAACTGCGCGATGGCGGACGAGTGCCATGATGTGTTGGTGGGGGTACGGCGGCGGTCGCAATGTGCTTGGGGAGGTCAAAGGAGGTGGGACGGGAGGAGATGGCGGAGATTCGCGCCTGGTTGGTCGAGGAAGTGTTGTTGTTGTGTAAGAGCCGGGCGGGGAAGGACGCGCTCAGGGATGGCGGGGCCGTCGACGTTCTGGAGGGATGGAAGGGGGAAGAGCATCAGGGATGGCGGGGCCGTCGACGTTCTGGAGGGATGGAAGGGGGAAGAGCATGCACGCCGTAGTGGGCATTCTGGATCGGCGGGAGACACTGGTAATCACGAGGCAAATACCGCATCGATGCACTTTTTGGTGGGAAGCCGTTTCGGTCGACCAATAGAACGTGCACAACTGGATTGTCAAGGGTAATCAGAGACTGTCCGAACCAAATTCTTGATATTTGGTTCCGATTTTTAGATTGACACCAAAAATTTGATGATTTGGTTGCACCGGTGGGGATGACAATCGACATCAAATCATCAAATTTTGGTTGTTTGGGTATTTGATTCTACCGGTGGGGATGCTCTGAGTGTGTATTTGTAGTTTCATGCACACTTTCTTTTTCTGCACTTTAAATTCACTCCGCTACAGGCACCTTGTCATAAGTCAGTCTTTCGGCTTTTGGGGATTTTATTTTAAAAAAGAGCTTTTGCAGACGAGCGAAGTTTTCAAGCCACGGAGGATTTCGATCGAACGACGGTGGATACATACCGGGATCGGAAACCCTCCCTTCATACCGAATTAAGCGGCGATCTCTTTACTGTTGGCGCACCTGCTGATACCGCGTCAACACTTCATGAGCTATGCTCCCCTTCACTTCGGCTCCAGCCCGTATTGCTGACGAAGAATTGAAGCGACTCAGACAAATGGGTACGGCTCTCAAAGATGCAGGTGTCGGAGGGTATGTCGAGGTAGTCCCAGATGAGTCCGAAGCAGAACGTTCCGTTGCCGGTACGATATTCTATACCGCCGTACCGACAGACACAAGTCTTTGCGTTTTGGAACCCAACTTTCTCGTTCCATGTAATCCTATGATATTGAAAACGCTTGCAACAGGTCAAGAACGTCGTCACAGGAATGAAGTCGGATGGGCATGCTCGGCCATGGAACGACGAACAATTGGTGGGGATAACCATCCTGTACGGTTGCGAGCTACGTGCACATATGCTCGTATTAAGCGCTTTCGAAAAAATCTTTGACCTCAGTTTCTAAGGCCAATCTTCGTGACAGAAATTCCAAGAAGTGCAGATGCGAAGCAGTGATCTCTGCCATACGCGTTGGGAAAAATGGTATTCTTAGCTCTGCTCTCGAAGTGGCAGCCAGAAATGCCATGCGGGATTCGGCTATCACATATTCACATTCCGATACGACACAGATGCATACTCAAATGATGAAAACAAAGAGCAAATCTCCTTTCGCGTCTTCAATATCTGACGAGTCTTCCATTTCAAATTCGAAGGAATCCTGGCCAGGTTTCGTCATTATCACAAAGTGCATCACTAGGCACGCGAACCACAAGCCGCGAGCCGCAGTTGGCGATATGAAGCTTCAGCGACTAGCTTCATCGGTTGAAGCTGTGCAAGATCCGCGAGTATCGTCGACATTGGAAACATTCATTGCAATGTCAGCCTCCCGAGGTTCGGCTAATGTTCTACGTGCGACTCAATTCTTGAGAAAGGCAGTTCCAGATGTCTTTGTGCCTGCAACAGTCGTTCGTAATGCGCTTGCAGCGCTTCGAAGACAAGAAGGTGACGCTACTGTCGCTCAAGATCTCCTTGGTGACATGCACCGCGCAGGAGATGTAACGCACATTTCCGTTTGTAGATCGGATGAAGGGATACTCAACTGCATATTCTTCGCGCCACGCGGGGCGCGAGAGCTTATCACCAGATGTGGTGATGTCGTCACCATCGATTCAACTCACCATATGACCAGGTATGACTATAAGACAACATGCGTAATCGCGATTGACTCACTAAGGAAATCTAGATTCACATCTGTTTGTCTTGCTTTGCGCGAGGACGCACGCACAATGTCTCGGATGCTTGCAGATTGGGCTATGACAATGCGACCTGTGAATTCACCAGATTCTGTCCCGCTCCCTCGTGTCGTCTTCACGGATGACGAGTGCGGGCTTTCGGGGGCGCTGTCAATGGCCCCCGATGCTGACGCACGGATGCACCTTCAATGCACTTGGCACCTTATCGATAACAATGTGTACTCACACGTTGCCAACTGCCTGGAAGGCGGACCTAGCAACTGGATTCTTTTTCGATCGCAGATAGATGGAGTTCGTGGGAGCCCAACTGAGGGCGAGTTCGATCGCCTTTGGAACGAAATGATCTCGCGTTGGTTTCCAATGAATCCCGAAAACTTTCGACAGCAACAACGTGCTCGTAGGTATTTACAACACCACGTTTATTCGAAACGAACCAGATGGGCATTGTGTTTTTCCCAACCGCTCCAACTTTGGGAGTGCAAAGCACTCAGCGCTCTGAAAGTTTTCACGCTTTGTTGAAGAAAAACATACCAGAGTCAAGCTCGCTTGCTAATTTTACTGACCGCATCCTTAATCTTATCTGTAGCATAAACACCCCCAGCGATAGGGGTGTATGCACAGTTCGACCGAGACCCCGTCCGATCGGAAAGAGGGGGTGAAGCAGGACACCAGCTAACGGCACCGGGCAGCGGGCCCGGGTAGCGTGGTAGAGCGGGAACGGGGAGGACGCCGGTACGCGCGAGCGGTTCGACGCCTCGACGCCCCGGCGCGGTACTGGGTAACGATCCAGTACCGCCGGGCGGAGGCGGAGCCGGCTCGTGGGCGTACCGCGCGCGTCCTCAACCCGCGCTCGGTGCCGCTCTAAGGTAGTTAGCGAGCGCTACCTTAGAATAAGCGGGAAGTCGGACCTTGACGGTCGGTGGGTGACAAGTCCGTCTTTGTCCCCCTCCGCCGCCGTCGGTCCGCTCCATATTTAATATACAAAACAATCTATCATAACACTACAGTACCGAGGTACTGTAGTGGGCTACTGTAGTGCAGGTCGGCCTGCACTGTAATACTGTCAGCTATGTCGAGGCTGACAGTACACGTATTACCCGTGGTGCGTGCGCGCTTCGTTCGCGCGTGGTACACGTGTGCACGTGTATGCGCGTGTCCGTTGTCCCCGTGGTGTACGCGTGGACACGCGTGGTTGTACTGTAGAGCGTCGAGCTCTACAGTAGGGGATCCTGTTGTTGATCCAATCTAACTAAAAAGCCCCCAGGGGGGGGTTATACTACACGGCCCCCCCCCACAAGTGTGAACGTCCGCGTTCACATGTGCTTGTAGGGTGACTCGTGCTTCCTTCCCAGACTCGATCCTCGTTTCCCTATCGCCCCCCCGCCTGCGTTCGTTCCTCACTTCCTCGTGAGTCGTGCTCTCCGTTCTTGTTCACCCCTTTCGTTGGCTGTCGTCCTGTCCGGGGCGACGATCGCGTACAAGGCGCTTCGTGCGGCGCCTTTACGGGTCGCGCCTCTCCCTTGGCGGTTGCCAGCGGTCGTCACTCTGCGTGCCCATCATGCTGTTCGAACATGGCTCTCTTCGTAGAGCAACGGGAGGCGCGAGAGTGAGCGGCTCCTCTCGTACGACCGCAGCGTCCGATGCGCGGAGGTCCGTCCGGTGTGTGATCGGCATTCACAATTGCGCTCGCGACGGTCGCCTCACTGGCGGCGCCACTCCTCATTGGGGAAGTGCGCGGACGCGTAGTTGTTCGCTACCCTTCTTCTTGCCGCTCGCCGTCGAGGCAAGAGCGCGAAGACGCGAAGTCCGTTTTCTATCTGGCGTACCTCGCCTTCGTGGCGGGCGCGCCGGCGCCATCGGCTCCCGCGGCACGGTTCGCAGCATTATACCGGCGCGAGCGGGGGCGCTCCGGGGCCTGTGCCCGGGCGGTGGCGGTCGGAGCGAAAGGGTTTTTTGTGTGGTGCGAAGTGGAGAACTGTGGCCGAAAGCCGGGGTTCCAAGTTGCACAGTCGGAATTTTATTTCCTGGATGCCCCACTGGATGCAGTGTTGGTTTTGTAATGATCGTTGCTCCGATCGGAGGGAGGTAAAACAGTATCGGGGTCCTAAGTATGAGGTAATTCTTGTGGAAAAATAACTTTTGACGGTGACGTTTTGCCCCACGATAAAATGCACCTCAACAAAATTATTAAATTGCACAAAACGGTGGCATTTAATAATTTCAGATGTCCAAGAGGAGTGCATCCTCT